ATTAAAATGGGGTAGATTCCCTTTTTTTTTTTGTTTTTTTAGGGGGGGAGGGGGGGTGGCGGGGGGAGACAAAGAGACAAGGGCATGCTCCCTAGTCCCCTTCTTTCCTCCTTCCCCTTTTACTATCATTGTTGTTGTTATGGAGGGGGATGGCCACCTTTTTTTTTTTTTTTGATAACAGGATGGAAACAAATGCATATAAGTTATTTTTCATGTACTTTGGGTAACACCTACTCTCTCATAAATTGAGTGAAATTATAATTTAACTCACGTTATTATAACCAAAATACCCATTCCCATTGAGATTTGATATAAATAACCAATAACTAATTATGGTTTTCTTTTCTAACATCACCACCGTTTGATCTCTCATAATTTACTGCAGAACTATTTTGGGAAATTCAATTTAATAGTATATCCATGTGAACCTTGTGTCTAAGTTTTGGGATGGTGCACAATAGTAATCATCGAACAGGTGGCACAACAATATTGCCAATAGTACACCTAGCTCAATTTTTGGATCTGCGCTGATGTTTCCATATTTGGATTAAGAGACCCTGATGGCCTGGAAGGGAAACAATTAGATTTTGTCAACCCTTCTGCATTTTGAGGATCATACTTTGTGCCTACTTCTAACAAATATATTATTTAATGGGTGACTGCATTTGGTAATATGGTATAGGCACATCTCAAGACTTTGTTAGTTTCTATAGATTGTTCTCTTCAAGTTTATGCTTGTACTTGTAGTTTAACTTGTTTTCCTATTCTGAATGTTATATATCTTCAGATATTGTTAATTAGCCCTGGGCCATTGAATATCATAGATGCTAGCATGTTTGACTTCGCTCTTAAAAAATTTGGGTTTCACAGCTCCCGTGCAGGATCATTTTTAGGTGATTTTATCCACTTAGGTTATTTGCACAGTCAATTTATTGTCAAATATTTAGCCAATTGTAGTGAATGTTAAGCAAATCACAACTATGTATATATTGTGCCTGAACATTGCTTATAGAATAGCATTTCTTTGTTTTACAGATATGAGTCTTCCCCAATGGAAGTTGCGTCCTCTTGTGACGTTACATTTGCAATGCTTGCTGATCCTGAAAGTGCAGTATGTTTTATTTGATCTTATTAGTTTATGTTATATCCGTATCTTGTTCATTCGAATTGGTAGTTTACAAGACTGCATGCTCGCTCTAGGTGGATGTTGCTTGTGGAACTCAAGGTGTTATTCATGGAATTGGTCCAGGAAAAGGGTACTGCACTTAGTAGTTTCTTCTTTTAGTGGAATTTTTAACTTAATGGAAATGAGGATGTAAATGCTTTGTAATATGTAAAAGAGTTTGCATGTTGAGATTTTGATTTCATTGTTATTACCTCTATACTTTGTGTGTGATTGTATGCATATATACAGACATATACACATTCCTATATGCATATATGTGTGCATTGACCTAATATTAAGACATTCTATTGCTTGATATTATATTCCCTGTCGTCATCTTGAATTGCAGACACTTATCATGTTCTGAGAGCCATAAATGGAACCTTGATTGTCATTATTGTCATGATTAATGAGTCTTTTATTGGTGAATTATTTGGGATTGGAACCTAGACATAGTTGTGCAGCTTGGTTTCCCTTCATTTTTGTGGATGTGTATTTTGGCCTCTGAGGGTATGAGCTAAGTGAACATATGCTCACTTGATTTCTTTGGGGAATAACAAAGTGATGTTTTGGCAAAGTTACATATCGGATTGTGTGGCAAATTTTCTCTGAAGTCAACCCGAAGGACTCTCTATGCCTCATATGTAAAGTTTTTCTTTTTTTTCGTATTAATTCTGCTCTTGAAATTTTGGACCAATTGTTGCAAATAATTTGTATTTTCTGAATTTATGGGAATATTTGGTCACACAATAAATGGCTTATCAGATTCTTGAATGATTCCTTTTGTATCGATTGCTATACATTCTTGGAAATTTTCGTGACAGCGCCGCACATGTGAAACTGCATAGTTCCAAATGGATTCAAACTTTTGCTTCATTATTGTTTACTGTAGTGTGCCAAATTTATTTCCAGCTTTCTTGTCTCAATTCTTAAGTTTTGAGTTCATGGGGCAGTTTGACGATCCCTACACGTATTGTCATTGGAAAAACTTCCAATTGTCATTATTGTTGTTGTTTTTGCCGTTGTTGATTATGGTGGTGTTGGTGCTGCCGCTGCACAAATGGTCTGATTGCTGAAGGGACCAAGCATGACGATGTCGTAAAAGCTCCTATTTGGTTGTCAAATATTAAGAAAAGTCAAATTGGCTACTATGTAATGATTACGGCATAAAAAGATTGATTATGAATGGATTCTTGTGCAATTCTGTCTGAGTGAGATCTCATGTCTTTGTCACAAGGAGAATGATTCTATGAAACAAATGTTTTGTTCCTAATCATATGATTGTATTATGCTGCATCTTCCTTCTGTCAGATTGGTTAGTGTCGAGTAGGAATAGGAGTGAGGTATCATGACAAGAGTTTGTATCTACCTCAGGTCCAAGAACAAAAGTTTACTATTTCTATATCCTCTCGAGTCAGGAGTTATCTCTAAGAACTCCTATTATTTATTGCATGACACTCTTTGTGTTCTTGGATGAAACTTGAATTGCTACCTTGCATCTCACAAGCCCTTTTAGGGACTGGCCAGGGTTATTGCATGATACTCCTGCCATTGACGAGACACAAATGTACTCTCAATGTTGTTGATTTTATGCATGGGCATCTTCTTGTAATCTACTTATTGCCAGGGTCATCCCTATGCTTGTTCATCAATTTTTCTCAGCTCGTCTGAAACCTACTAATTCTCTGACTCATTTTTGTCTTTCACTAGACCAAATACTAGTTATAGGAACCACGACTGCTAATGATGGTCCGAATGTCAAGAATATTCTGCATCTTCTCACCAACCTCTTGTGCATCTGCACCTTCCACTAAGCATCCTCAGCATCCACAGGCTCTCCATGATACTCAGATCAGAGATATTAAAATAGGAGAGATCCTGTACCCTTCCACAAGCTCAATTTTGTATACATTATTGCCATTCTTCTGAAGCACACAGCGTGGGCCAATGTTCTCGTGTTTGAGCTTACCACCAAGATTGTACTATTGCCTAAGATACACCATCCCAAAAAAACCTTCATTAAACTCTTTCTGACATCAGTGTTGATCGGAATCTGCCTTGTACTTGTCCTAGCTTTCTTGAAGTTTTTCTCGTACCTGCCAATGAACCTCTTGAGATATTCGACCAAGGCTTTAGCATCATCTCTTGCTCGCTCTTTCTCAGGCAAGGGCCCCAAATTTAGAACCTTATTTGGCGATTGCCCATACACGATATCAAATATTGACCTTTATGTGGATCGACTGATTGTGCTATAATAGGAAATTTTAGCTTGTGGCAGAATCTGATCCCACTGTGAAGGCTTGTCTCCTTGCAAGTCTCCTCAATAGGTTTTCTAGGCTTCTATTAACAACCTCGATCTTACCATCAGTCTATGGAAGATAACTGCTATTATACTGAAGGTGAGTGGCGAACGTCTTCTATAGGGTACGTCTAAAGTGACTCACGAACCTCACATCTTGATCACAATTTATGGTCTTAGGAAACCTCGAAGTTGAACCACCTCCCTGAAGAGCAAATCATCAACATGCAAGGCATCAAGGTTGTTCTTGCTAGGGATAAAGTGCAGCATCTTAGAGAAGCATCCCACCACCACAAATACAGAATCCCAACCTCTAGATTTGCAAGGATGCAAAGTCATATTGATGTCTGTCCATGGGGTGGTAAGAATTTGCAAAGTGGAATACAAACTAGTGTTTTGAGACTGGCCTTTTGGTTAGCTCAAATACCCGGCATCACTCTACATATTAGCTGACATACCTATCCAGTCTTGGCCAATAACATTTCTTCTCCACTAGTGCAATGGTTTTATCTCGCCCGAGGTACCCACTAAGACTTCTAGCGTGCAACTGACCAATAATCTGAATACGAAGAGATCCCTCCCTCTGGAATACACAGTCAGCTTCTCTAAAGAGAAACCCGTCCTGCAAAATATAGAAGAATAAATGTTTCCTTGCATACACTGCTCGAGAATTATGTAGAAAGCAAGGGTTAGAAGCATATTCTGGGGTAGGACTTCAAACCCAACTATAGTTTCAAAAGTGCTAGGCGGGTCCTAGGCCGCCTAGGGGATCCAGGCCGCCCAGCGCCCAAGCGGGCGCCGAGAACCTGAGTGGCCCAGTTGAATCCAAATAAGGATTCTGGCGTTCTGCTGTTATGTCAGTATCAGTTATATGCAGTACATAATTCAAATTATGCTACATATTATTTAGCATTTAGCACACACTCCATAAGCATAACTATAATCCATAAGTCGGTTCATACTCTATATCCAATTAAAACTTAAAATTTTCCAACCAACCAAATTATCAAACCAAGTTATCAAATAGTATCACACCAATACTGCAATACACCACCATGAGGAAGAAAACAATCTAGTTTGAGTAACTTTGAGTAACCCTTTGATCCTAAAAAACTCACCACAATCTAGTTTTTTGGGGGCTTTCTCTCTCTAAATTTGGCTCCAACAAGTTTTAGGTTTCAATTGAACCTAAAACCCTAATTTTTGGCCCTTAAAAATAAATAAATAAAAAAAAGACAAAAATTGCCCCCACCGAATTGTTTTTCCGCCCCTGGGCGGTCGCCCAGGGCTGGGTGCTGGGCGCTCGCCTAGGCACTGGGCGGTCCACTTTTTTAATCACTGAACCCAATCACAGACGTGGCAAGGGTCCGAAGGAAGTTAGACCTCTTGTTCAATGCATTACCACTTTATTTTGGTTGTCCGACTTATGCTGAATCACAGTGGAAAACTCCTGCAAATCAGGCAACTTTGAACAGTGCCTATTCAAAGCATTCAAAAATTTAAATGCCTCGTACTTAGAAAGTAAGATATATCCCCACTAGATGAGATAATGCCTCCAATGTTGAAGTGCCTACACAATGAAATAAAGCTCCATATCATGTGTAAGTACCTAGCCTTAGACCCCATTCAACTATTCACTACAGAAGGCTACGAGCTTGCATTTTTAGCTAAGGACAGTTGCAATACACATATGTGAAGCATCACACTCTACCTGAAACTCTTCTAAAAATTTGGGAGTGCCAAGATGGGAGTAATAATCATCGTCTCTTTGACAAGCTTGCTTTTGTCCACTGAAATGCCTGCTGAATTTCTAATAAACCTCCTATAAAAAGCGGCCTAATCATGGAAACTCCAAAAACCTCTCCCATGGTTTATGGAGTAGGCTAATTCAATATTGCTTGCACCTTAGCTTGATCAACTTTAACCCCTTTAGCGAAACAACAAACCCTAGAAATACCAAACTACTGTTATAAAGAGCACTTCTTGAGGCTTACAACTTTTGCCTTCCAATACCTGCCTTTGATGGAAGTGCTCATTATCACCGGAACTGTAAATAAGAATATCATTATAATATACTGCTATGAAATTTAAGAATAAAAGGGCGAAGCACATGGTTAATGTCTTCATGATCCTCATAAAGTACTTGGGCAGTCGGACAAACCTAACGGCATCACCAACCACTCATACAAACCCTCCCGAGTCTTAAATATTGTTTATCACTCTTCTCCAGGGAAAACACAAATAAGATATTCACTTTTCAAACCAATTATGGAAAAAACCTCTGACCCCAACGACTTGAAAAACAATCATCCACATAGGAAACAAGAAATTGGTACTGGACTGTGATCTTATTGATGGCCATATTATACACTTACATGTGCGAAGGACCATCTTTCTTTGGAGCTAACAAGGCAGGGACAGCACATAGACGTCAGCTCTCTTGAATCAACCCCTGGTTTACCTTTCTGGTTATCTACCTATGCAATTCTTCGTGCTCTTTTGGACCCATACCATGGTGTCATACCGTGGTGTGATAGGTTAAGAAGAGCAGGACTAGGGATAAAATCAATTCAATGCTATCTCTTTCATTTGGAGCACGCCAGCAGACAAATTCTCAGGCGTAACCTTAATAAACTCCTTAAGTTAGGGTGTAATGGGGGTACGAATAGAGTTAAGGCAAGAATCATCCTATGCTCACAAAGCAGATATAACTCCTTGCTCTCTCCTCTCCTCAAGAAATCGACTTAAAGTGAGTAGAAACTCTCATTCCCCCCTTCCTAGGCTCAAGCTGTCTTGTGTTTAGATCGCACTACATCAACTCTTCATATGTTTTCCCTATGGTGAAACTAACCAAACAACAAGAATTAATAGGGTTTTAATTACATATTTGGAACTATGGAAAGGGGTTCCCCTTGACATAAAACTCCTAGAAGCCATAAAATAACCTTTAAGGAACCATTAATAATCATAGAAAAACAGGGATTCGATTTGCAAACCCTAACCCACTTTTTTTTTTGGAAGAAAACCCCTACCTCACTCACTCCTATGAGATTGACACCCCATCCTTCTTCTAGCACTGCACATCTAGATATGATTATGAATTTCTTTGGAAATTTTTTGTTATGATGGTATAGGATTTTTTCTTGTATTTGGAAAATACATTGTTAAGCTTCAATTTTTTTATTGGGAGATGTAACTTACATGCCTATTGATCCTTGGCACTACCTATTGAAACAGCTTTCTACTGTGCTCTTTAATGTCAATGAAAGCCACATTTAGTTGTCATAAAGCATCATTTATTTTCCATTTTAAATGAAACTTTGCAGGTATGTGGATATATCAACAGTTGATGGCGCCACTTCTAAATTGATTGGTGGAAACATCAAAAGTACAGGGGCATTGTTTTTGGAGGTAAGGCTTGTTCATTTTCTCCTAAAAGTTTCAATATATTGTGTGTTTCCATAGTGCTTTTTCTCCCCTACAGTTCATGCTTTTTGTTATTGATGTTTCCATTAATGTGCTTTGTTGTGAATTGTAAATCATGACATTGTTTAAAAGGCTATGCGTGCATAGTGCTTTTTCTCCCCTATAGTTCATGCTTTTTGTTATTGATGTTTCCATTAATGTGCGTTGTTGTGAATTGTAAATCATGACATTGTTTAAAAGGTTATGCTTGCTAGGCTCCAGTTTCAGGCTCCAAAAAGCCTGCAGAAGATGGCCAGCTCATTTTTCTAACAGCAGGTACTGATTATGTTATATTTTTCTTGCTGTATCATACCATTCTTGAATTTTTTATTTTTTTTTTCTCTTCTTTAAATAGGAGCAGTCATTTTAGTTTTAAGATGTTGAAAATGGTGATGGTATAGTAGTTGTACTTATCTATGCATTAATTGTTATCTTAAATAAGAGCACATCTTTAGGGACACAACATGGAGTTACTTCACTGCAGTTACTGATTATGTTGAATTTTTCTCTATAGACGTTGATTGTTTTTCTTTGACTGAAATTAGTCCTTTTCATTTTGAAATGTTAAAAAAAATATTAAGGTCATGTTTTACTTAGGTGGGTAAATGAGGTTTAAACACAGCCTCATATGGTTGTTCCAATAACCACATTCCAATCAACATTCCAATCAAGTTAATGGTAAGCCCATGTGAGTTAGTCCTTATTTTTATAATTTTACTTAACTCCACCTTATGTTATTAGCTTATGGAAACCTACCTGTGGTTTTGTTGGGAGTGTTTTAAAAAAAATTACTGCCATTAGCCTAGTAAGAGTTGGTAAGGAAGGCTTATTTGCACTCTATGCGCCACATGACTAAAATAGAACAGTGAAAATGAAATGGATTTTATCATGTGAACACTTAATAAGAAAAATATGACATGTATTCTATGACTTATATCTTTTATGACAACTGTATCTCCTGCATTTTCAATCTTACACCTGGTAAAGGGGAGGTAGCCACATGTCTTGTGAAGTTAATTGCGTAGGAATGGATTATTATACATCGATTGCCAACCTTTTTGTGACAGGCTTATAGTTACTACTGACCCCAGATCTTAGATTGGTACTCTTGGACACAACCAAGGAACGATTGTGCCCTAATATTTGTAGTAACTCATGATTCATCTGAGTTCAACTTCAGCATAGAAATCTACATTGTTTGAAAGACCTCTTATCATAAGTTCGGAAGCAAAATTTTGTGTATGGTTTTTTTTCAAATCATGCAATCTTTCCTATATGTTATCTATCAGCATGGTTGAGAGGGAGCTCCAAGCCCCTACATGTTCTGTTTGGAAATTGAAGCAAGAGAAACTCAGCGTGGAAGAATCAAATGAATGAAGAGCCTTGTTGGAAGAAACTATACAAGAGATGACCTACATAGTTCAGGAAGTTGAATATTTAGTGCCCATTTTGGCTTAGATATCTAAAAAATAAAGCGACATTTGTTCAATATTTGATTTTTTTCTTTTTTTCTGAAAGATTACTGTTAGAATATCAAGTAACACTGAGGTGCAGTCAAGCATTGTTAAATATATGAGGCGAGAGAGGAGAACAGGTCAAAGGAGGAGTTGAGGTTGAACAAAGTATGTATATGATATACAGATTGTACCTGTAGCTTGGACCCATATTTCACAAGTTCTTTTTCCATCCTTCAATTGATATAAAGTTAATTCATACTTTTATGTTTGTTTCCCATGGAAGGTTCTTATCTTTTATTTTAATGGAATTTTCATTTATGTTTTGTTAAGATTTATAAATAAGTGATCCCTCTCAATAATCTGAGATTTTTGATCTACACATTGTGTCAAAGCAAAGAGATGTAAGGCTTCATGGGTTTTGCTTGATTCTTCATATTGCATTGAGCATGCAGTAAGGTTTTCTTCACGCCTCTCTGCTTTCTGTTGCATCAGTCTTTATTTCTCATTTTTCTCCTAATTTTCTTCCCATCTTATGGTTATTAATGTTGTCATCCACATGCCTGGTGGCATCACTACGCATGCCAAACTATTAGGTATCGTTGTTACTATTTTTATTTTATTTTTTGGATTTTGTCTTCTTACCTTTCCAAGAGGGATATCTACTTTATGGTTTTGTGCCTTGATTCTTCATGCATCATTGAGCATGCAATAGGTTTTCTTCACTCATCTCACTGTCCCCCAGTTTAGTATTTTTTCTTTTGAATTTGTTTTTCTGATATTTTGGTTATTAAGGGATGATGTTGTCATCGGCAAGTATAGTGACATTACACATGTTAGACTGGTAGGTTTGATATTTTCTGTAGGATTTTGTCTTCTTTCCTTCCAAGGGGAAAATCTACTCTTTGCTCCACATTTTTCCTTGGACTTTCCAAACACAAAGTCATTTTTTAAATAGAGTATCTTTTTTTCGTGTGAAGAAGTCCATTTTGTTGTGCATTGTGAGGACAAGCTTGTTGATGTAGCATATGATGTGACCAACAATAACATGGGACCTGAATACCTGCTTCGTACTTGAGTGATGGAATTAAAAGATTATTCTTCTCTTGATTGAGTCCTGATTTTCCTGACCCCATCTAGATTTATACCTTTTCATGAGGGATTAAAGGGGTTGCATACTTGTATCTTGATTACATAAAATAATAACATGTTGAATAAGAATAGTTATTATATGATGGAATTCAACTACACGACAAAATAGAACCTTCCAAACCTAGTGGCTGGTAAAAAAATGTGTGACACAATACCCTTATCAACAAGATGCTTTTTAATGACTACGAGATGTACAATCCAGCAATGGCTGCTGAGGATACTAAACGTTAATTGATTGTAGTGGAGGATTGTGATGGATACCTCTTAGGGTAATCCTGTAGAAATACTATACTTGCTCGTTGACCTCTTAAAGTCATTATCTGGATTTCATATCCTAAAGGAAAAAAAAAGTGAAATATGCAAAGGAATTCTAGTTAACAAGTTGTGGATTCAAAATCTTGTTCCTTAAGTGTGAACAAGATACCATTTGTATGAAGGCCATATGTAATGCTTAATTGAATGATGATGCAGCCCAGAATACTGCTCCTGTGTATATTAGGAGAGACAATCTTAAAGTTTACGAGAGGAACTGGAGGAGCCAAAATGGTTATTGAATCTGTCCTTTTATGCCTTTTATTTATTTCATGAGTCATTTTATTCATTTAGGGGCATAAGTAGTAATTTCTAGAGTCTTTTGTGTCTTTCTATTCAATTAAAGTCTTTTATAATGAATGGCTATGATTAAATTAGATGGATGGCCAAGATTAAGCCTTGTTTAGGGCTTTCTTATATAAGGGATGTACTCAAGCATAATGAGGCATCCTGTTATGGACTTTATTCAAAACCCTAGAGCCCCTATTGCTCCTTTTGTCTCTAGCTTTTGTATTTTGCTCTAATTTTGGCCTATCTTCTTTGTTGTTAAACCCTAGCTTCAAGCTATTGGGTCTGCGTGAGGCTGGTATAAGATCCTAATGATTTGCATGGACGAAAATAGTTTTTACCAACATACTGTAGCACTGTACGGACAGTACTATACAATTGATTTTTGTCCCCTAGATCAACATCCATGCCTCCACACAGAGGAAGAGTTGGAAAATTAGCAACCATAGAAGCCTTTTATGCTAGTTCGTGGGAAAGGATTGCATATCTGAGGAGATTGGTTGAAACCCTGACTCTGTGTTAGACGCAAATGAAAACCTTGATCTCAGAAGGATAAGATCTAGGCAGATGAAGAATCCATAAATCCCTTCCATCATCAAGCTCCAAGGAGAGAGGTAGTTAATCGTACAGATAGGGTTAGTAGGAGGTGGGAAGCCGGTCTCAAGGTTGAGATCCACGAGTTTAATGGGGGCCTGACAGCTTAAGAATTCATTGACTAGCTGAATACAGTGGAGTGGATATTGGAGTTTAAGGAGGTTCTTGAGAAAAAGAAAGTACCTTAAGTCGTCATAAACCTTAAGGGAAGAGCTTTGCCCTGGTTGGAACAAGTGAAGGTGACACGTACACAAAGAGGACAGCTCAAAATCACAGATTGGGAGAAGATGATGCGTAAGATGAGAGAGGCTTTTCTTCATTATGAAATGTGGGATGCCATAGGTAGCTTACTCTTCATGTAAATTCTTTTTTTAAATACAAGTTAACATTCTCCAAATAAAGATGAGAAGGCTTTTCTACCCTTCAAATACTTGCAAACTATGTATTTGCATTTAAATAATCTTCAGCAAGGAAGTAGGTTTGTGGATGACTATACGGAGGAGTTTTATCAGCTGCTTTTGTGTAACGAGCATTTTGAGGATGATGACCAGCTTGTGGTGCGATATATTGGAGGTCTTAGGCAGTCTCTGCAAGATGTGATGAATATCCATAGCGCGCCTTGGTGGTGGAGAAACAACAAAACTGAGGTCAGTTCAGATCTAAAAATATGCCAGCAGTAGTCTCCAAATCTTGGCTGAGTATTGGACAAGCGCAGGAGCAGGTTGGGGAAAGTCTGGCAGCAACAATCCGGAGTCCCAAGAGGTGTCAGAGCCCCCCAGACGGTGCGTGCTATTGGTCAGGGCCAGAACTTGAGAAATCAGGTTGGTGGTGTGGCAATAAAGTGTTTCAAGTGCAAAGAGCCCGGCCACAGGTCGAATGACTGTAGGAAGAATTCTAGCTGAGGGACAAAATAGCTATTAATCAAAGAGGATGATTTAGTTGATATAGATGTGTTTGTGGATCCTGTTTCCGATGATTATGGTGATGAAGAGGTTGTTACTCATGGAGACGTTGGTGAAGCATTAGTGGCCAGAAGGAGCTTCTTGGTGCCAAAAGCAGACACACAAGAAGATTGGCTGTGAACCACTATATTTCGCTCCTCATGAATAATTGAACGAAGGATTTGTACCATGGTGAATGGTAGTGGCAGTTGCGAAAATATTGTGTTAGAGGAAGCCATTACAAAGCTGCATTTGAGTGTGAAAGAGCCTCCACATCCCTAGAATTGTCCTGGTTCAAAAAGGGCAATGAGTTAACACTCTCTAAATGTTGCCTAGTTTCTTTTTCCATTAGCTAGATCTATACTGATAATGTGTGGTGTGATGCTGTGACAATGTATGTGTGTCATATCTTGGTGGGGAGGCCTTGGCAACATGATATACATGCCATACATGATGGGATGCTTATACGTTTTGGAAGGATAACCTGAAAATTTTCTAAGGAGATGTGATGCAACTGAAAATCGCTGGCAACCAA